CAGGACGACTGATCCGTGTAAAGGAAAGAATGAATGGGGCCATGTATCGTGAGATTTTGAGTGAAAACCTCCTTCCATCAGCAAGGGCATTGAAGATGAAACGTGGCTGGGTCTTTCAGCATGACAATGATCCCAAACACACCACCCGGGCAACGAAGGCGTGGCTTCGTAAGAAGCATTTCAAGGTCCTGGAGTGGCCTAGCCAGTCTCCAGATCTCAACCCCATAGAAAATCTTTGGAGGGAGTTGAAAGTCTGTGTTGCCCAGCGACAGCCCCAAAACATCACTGCTCTAGAGGAGATCTGCATGGAGGAATGGGCCAAAATACCAGCAACAGTGTGTGAAAACCTTGTGAAGACTTACAGAAAACGTTTGACCTGTGTCATTGTCAACAGAGGGTATATAACAAAGTATTGAGAAACTTTTGTTATTGACCAAATACTTATTTTCCACCATAATTTGCAAATAAATTCATTACAAATCCTACAATGTGATTTTCTGGATTTTTTTTTCTCATTTTGTCTGTCATAGTTGATGTGTACCTATGATGAAAATTACAGGCCTCTCTCATCTTTTTAAGTGGGAGAACTTGTACAATTGGTGGTTGACTAAATATACTTTTTTTCCCCACTGTACAACCATAACACAGTATGATATATTGCTGGCATAACATAGGCCATCATTATAAATACTAATGAGTTATTATTTGAATTGCCTAGTTAAAGAAAAAGATACGCTACTGTAGAATACACCAGAGGAAAATGTGCCTTTAGGGTGATATTCTGTATTAGGAGGAAATTGAAAAACGCTGATGACAATATGAATATGGCTCAAGACTTACGTCCTCTGGGGCCACAGGAAGGACATCGATACTCTCCAGCACTTCTATCTCGTCTCCCTCCGCGTTCGCCGCCACTGCTGGAGAGGAATGCACCGGCATGTCCCGAGACGCGTCGGGCATTGTCAGGCTGCGGCTGCCCCTCTCCTCAATCCACCACTGAGCGATTCAAGATTAAATCCTTAACGACAAACAATATCCATTCTCTGCTATTTGAGCCACATTACGCATATAATCCATATTTGAGAAATCCCAAGTGCGGCTAATCAACGCAGGTGTCTCAAACACAATTGGCCATCCTTATTCCAACCCTGGTCCTTTGAGGCTATTTGGAAAAAATATATTAGCCCACAAAATAACATCTATCTTCCGTTTGTTCACAAGGTCATTGAAGAGAAAAGATATGTTCACTAGATCCACGCACAGAGCAAAAGTTTAGTGCCGAGTTGAGTGTCCGTGGAGTGCGCATTTGCGTCTCGCCACTCCGAGCGACAGTGTGTTTGTAACAACTGAATTGAGGGTGTGTGACCACCAAGTCCTTCTACAATTTCATACGACAGCCCACCTGCACCTCAGTCCAGCTCTCTATGGACAGACACGGCGTTTTTCACTGCCAAAGTGCTGAATTCTCATTGGGACGGACAGGCAGGCAACTATCCAAGTTGACAGCCGTGAGTGTTCATTCCAATGTGACTCACCTGAAAATGAAATAGAACAGAGGTGTGTGTAGCGATATTGAAAGCAATTGGCTACTCACTTCAATAGTGAATAAGAGAAGACGTCATAGTGTATTACAAAGCAATAGGCATGGGGGGGGGGGGCAGCATAAAACAGCATATTAGGCTACTCAATCTACTGCGCATAAAGCAGCATGCATAGCCTAAATGTCATGCCAGTCCGTCACTGAACACTCACTCCAAAGATGTCTAGTCGATCGTCCAAAAGTCGCGCAAGTGTAAATTCTGGTGCGTCATTGTACACTCGCAGTTGTTTACAGCGACGCAGCTCGGCCAGCTGCCCAACTCCGCTGTGTCTCAGTCAGCAGCCTCTAGGAACACTGACTCCGCTCCCCGAGTTGGATCGGGACCAGCCGGCACTCTGGCACTGTTCAAGCCGGTAGGCAGGCAGGCAAGCAACTTCGGCTCCGTTCCACTGCCGCATGCGTGCCTCCCGCGCAGAGAAAGATGGATTTTTGGCCGCGAGGTGAGAACACCACCCACACCCACAGAAGGCTTCGAGGAACCCCAGTTCCCACCAGCTGGCTCTCACTCCGGTACTTTATCACGTTATGTCATCAGATAGACAGTGCGCGCATGTGACTCAGTGAGTAGACTTGGCTGAAGAGTATCCAAATTCAACACTCTCACAAATTTGGGTGTAGGCTATTAGAAATACACAAAATAGTATTCAAACAGTTGAAGTGCCTGATACGGATTTCATTCAAAGAGGGCCAATTCTATCCTTTAATATTTCCATCCAACATTCACTGAAAGGGTGGTGAATTCAATCATGAAGGATAGCACCTACTGATCTAGTAGGATCAGCTTAGAACACTTATGGTACCAAGTAGTGACCAATGTTTGACCTTTCTTCCTCTCTGTATCTGGGTGGTAGGCGGGTTGAGGTTCAGAGGAAGGTAATAAGGGCTCCACTCCTGTAAATTCCAGGTTGCGTTTTAGGGCCATAAACAAACACTCCCCTGCAGGCCTGCAATGACAATCAGCAAAATGATGGGTCTTCCATTCCAGAAGACCACCTACCCATTATCTATAAACACTTCAAACAAACCATTCATTTAAGATCAACCTGTGTGTGTGTTGTGTGCACATCTATGTGCTTCTGTGTGCCTACTTGTGCACTTGTGTGTGCGCGTTGTGTGTGTAAGTTATGTGTGTAAGTTATTTTGTGGCTGTGAGGTGATGCTGCTTTTGAGTGGGCTGGTAGCACTGTAAAGAGATTGTATCTCTCTCATAAAACTTCCCCATGCTATTCGATAATATTACCATGGAAACAATATGGCCATAGGTTATTTTTAACCTTATGGGTCTTCTGACACCTACACAGCACTTTTGGATGAAACTGCAGCCAACAATGTTTGAACAGTGAAATACTATACTAGCAACCCTACAGTCCTCAACTGGCCTCAAAACGCTTCATCCGAGAGAGCGCTAAACTGTTGAGATGCCATCTGCAGTATTACCATGTGTGAGATCACAATTAAACTAACCTCATCACCCAGAATCAAATCTCAACTACTCTATAAGGCTGTCACAAAACTGACACAAGAATACTGAATGTGGGGTCTCAATTTCTAATGACTTTGCCTATTGCTTTAGTTTCCATTCAAACTTCTGTTTAGATCATGCTCACTTGTTTGTCCATCTAAGAAAGTATCACCGTCCGATAGCCTTGGATGAACTAACCCATGAGGAAAGCATTACAATACCCTGCTGGTTGCGCATATTGAAATCAATGCAATTTGGCCAGTCAGTTGCACAGCCACTTACTCATAATATCTTACTCATTCCCTCATTATGAGTTACAGCGACACTCATAGTATCAACATCCTCCATATCACCAGTGAGTGACTGAAACCATTGGCCCCCCTGTAGTGCACCCCAACAGGAGAGCAGAGGAGAACCGCCAATTAAAATGATCTAATTGGGCGTAGCGTTCACATGTCAACTTTCACAGGTCAACTGCTGGCGGCGTCGGCTCAGAAAGTGTAATGCAACCCACGGAACAGAAGAGCGAGCAGAGGAACTGAGGCGAACTACGGGTAAACACCTGCACTGTGACAGGAATGCTTATCAACTCTGTCTCAGAATGTGAGTAGTAGCTCTGTCTGTGTATTTGTTAACTGGTGAAATCAGGTACAAATGACTTGTTAGACACAGATGTACTCACTCACACCCACACACTGTTAACGCTCTGCCTTGCATGTATTTGTGTCTCTCTCATACTCACACACACACACAGAGAGAAAATAGACAGACCGATCAGTTCCTAGGGAATAATCTTCATGGCTAAACAGGCGATTTTATGCAGAGAACTGTCTGGTGGGGATCATTAGAGAGAGACTAGTTACATCTCGTCCCTGAGGGATCCGACTGGGCCCTGAATATTGTTATTAGGTAGCCGTGGTAGTGTACAGTCTGTGCTGTCTGTAGATATTGGAATCATTATTTTGACTATACTGCCTCCATGTGTCCACAGGCAGACTTACAGTTACTACACACATTACCTCATCCTTCACCTGAACTTTGGGAGGAAGAATCAGGGGGAATTACATCACTGGCTGCCTCCCTCACTACCCCTCAGTAGGATCTTCCCTACCCCTCAGTAGGATCTTCCCTACCCCTCAGTAGGATCTTCCCTGACCAATGTAGTAAGGACCTGAAATGAAGAGAACATACAGCAGCATGTTGGCATTACCTCAATACTACAACAAATAGTCTGAAGCCAAAACTACACCAATCACTTCTGCAGTCTGCGGATGACTTGCATAATGTGCTCTGAGGAAGGCACTGTTCCGAAACATTGGCGATACCCAATAAATCATTGGGAGAATATATAGTGTGCGATTTTATTTTAAGTGTACCTTTCCATTAGTCAGCACCTGCTTAACTATTTGGGTGTGCATTAGCTGCTGCTTTTTATTATAAAAATGCATAATGGGGGGAAAAAATGATGGATCCCAAATGCAATAATAAACATTCTTGACACAGGATTAAAGTAGATTTATTTATTATAAACTTAGGAAAGGCAAAGGTGAAACACAATTGTTCTAATGTTCTGGGAGGTTGGGGTACTTGATAACATTTGGATAATTGGAATAATACCACTGAGAGGAATGTTAGCTTCATAATAAGTATATTTTATATTATAACAATATTGGAAGATGATCAGAAAAGCAAAGCATGCACATACAGCTCCTGCAAATATAACAACTGTACAGCCTCAACATACAGCTCCTGCAAATATAACGACTGTACAGCCTCACATACACGCATAGCAAGCACACACAATTTTGACCTGCACGCCCAACACACACAATTTGATTTGACATGCACCCCCAACACAAACAATTTGATTTGACATGCACGCCCAACACACACAATTTGATTTGACATGCACGCCCAACACACACAATTTGATTTGACATGCACGCCCAACACACACAGCACCTGGGTGGTCCACACCCATACAGGAAGACATGGGAGGGCCACAGAGGCTACTACTGCCTTACTGAGTCTAGGGGTAAGGCGCAGTCACCCAAAAAGTATCATCCCATACGGAACATCCATTGATTGAACATGGGCCAATTCAGACATACACATTTGCAAGTGTGCAACCAAGCTTCTGACCCTGGAATGCGAACTAAAGAACAACCTTCTTTTAATAACATCAGAACAGCCTCTACTGAACTGGTTTGAGGAAATTAGAATGATTGAAAGCGAATCCCTTTATAGCATCCAATGTGGCTTTGTTGTACCATTATAGCTTCAGCATATGAACTTCATAATGTCGTTTGTTCATGGGAAAACAAATATACAAGGAGTTATATATACATTATTTACAAATTTGTTCACTTTTTGTTTTAAAGCATATATTTTTATGTATGGTATTGGTTCTTTTGCATACCCATTTCTATTTCACTACCCCTCCTTCAACTGATTAACATTGAATTGTTTCACCATTTCAATCCACACAGGTAACCAAAAAATAGATATATTGCTTAAAGAGAAGAAATCACTAGCTTCATCAGTAGTAGTTATATCCTCACATTTTCAATATAAATATTATATATAGCCATACTGTCAGTGCAGACACCAAAATAAAGAACAATAGCAGTCATTTTCTTGCGAAATCTCTAGGTATAAAACTAAATAATGTTTGCTTTTTTCCCCTCATCACATGGGGGACATACTGAAGCTTAGCCTGGTCCCAGATCTGTTTGTGCTGTCCTGCCAACTCTTATGGTCTATGGGGCAGATCCTAACTTTCACTTAAGTTGAATTTTCACTTAGTCTCCCATTGACATCAATACATGACTAAGTGAAAATTCAACTTAAGTGGAAGCTAGGATTCACTCCATAGACCATAGTAGTTGGCAAAATAGCACAAACAGATTTGGGTACAAGTCTCGCAGAGGTTGGGTTTGCATGGTGATGGTGGTGGGTGGATCACCGTTGTTTGAGCAGCACTCTGTACATGGCGAAGCCCAGCACGGCGAACACGGTGGCTCCCACGCTCACTCTCAACCAGAAGGTGGAGCTCTTCAGGTCAGCCTGTGTCACATGTCTGAGAAGAGAGAGAAGGAGAGATACACAGAGAGAGAACAACATGATCCAGAGACAGAAAGAGAGTGACAGGCACAGGAAGACAGCGAGAGAAGTAAACAGAAGGAAAGAGAGAAACAGAGAGAGAGCACATAGGTCAGTTGGCAGAGAAAAAACTAAACCACAACATGTAATGCTTTTACATAACCTCTCTGCTTACACAGATGATCATGATACATGCTATGCAGGAATTCCCTCAAAACTGTTTGACTTTGACCCTCCTTACAGTCCTATGTATTAATCACAACTAAAGCAGCCAAAAGATGAAAGTCCAACAGGATGAACAGATATGACACTAGAAATCTGCATTATTAGACTACATATGTATTATTCATTCATGAAGAGGAACATAAGGAACAAGAGGGTTGGAATAAAACAAGATGGTAAAACAAGTGACGAATGATGAAGAGAGAGGATCAAGGAACTCAGAATCAGGAACGGAATCCAGGAATGTTGGGATGAGGCAAAAGAATAAGAGTGAGATGTCATGAGGATTTACATGAAAACAAACAGTGGGTTATGACAATCCACAGGACAAAATCCACATGATGAGCAAAACGCCACAATTCCAAAACAGGGTCAAAACGGAGGTGATGAACAGCAAATGAAGAAGAAGAGGGACAAATGAAGAGGAGGAGTGTTAAAACAGAAGAGTGTGAAGGCAAAGACAGGGTTCTCAGATAGACAGAAAAGGAAGACAAAATCCACATAATGAACAAAATGAGGAAACTTTTCGGGGGCAAAATGAAATGGCAAGAGAAGGAGAAAAGGACGAATGACGTAAAGGAGGATTGTGAAACAGAAGAGTTCAAAGGTCTCTGTGAAAGAGTAAGGACCTGCTGAGAATGGCGGTGTAGAGCTTGGCCTTCACCGTCTGCACCAGCTCTGAGTTGATGAAGTTCTGCAGGTGGCAGAAGGTGCACCTGTTACAGGTACACATACAGCGCAGCCGAGCGTGACTGAGGAGAGAGAGGTACACACACACACACACACACACACACACAGGCACAAAGAAGAAGAGTTAGAACAGAAAGAACCATGCCACCAGAAGGTTTGAGCTCTTTGGTCCATAGAGCTCATCTCTTAACAGGGGTTCAAATACCAAGAGCACCCACCCAGGAAGATAGGAGGAGAATTGTCTAATTAATCAACGGGAGAGCATGACCACAAGTCTGATCCATTGTAATCTTCACCTCACACTGTTGGGGGTTGTAAACTCCAAATAGCCACTTTGGATCAATTTGGATAATTGTCAACATTGTTAAATGTCCCCATGCCACCACAGAGTTAGAGGTCCATAGATGAAATCAAAATGCACTGGATTAAATACGTGATACATTGATGCTGTCCCCCATGTGTTGGCTATGCTTCTGAGGATTACAGTTCACTGTGTACATGGGTTATGTGACCTGTGACAGAGAGGTGACCAGTGTGGACAACACCCTGACAAAGAGAGAGTAGTGGGAAAGGGGGCATGCAAGGGCAATAAAAATACAGTAGCAGCTAATGGCAAATTTAATCCACCACCGTAACCACCACGTCTAACCAAGATGGTGGATACCGTTCACCCCAAGAGTTCAGAGTCTCTATATTTCAATGTGAAGTGGGACTAATTTGGGAAGTGAGGGATGAGGTAGAATTTAACAGCTTAGGGGCAGTTTTGGGGCCTGAGGTGGGGTTTTGGAGCTTGGCAATGGGTCTTACAGCATGAGATGGGGTCTTAAAGATTTAAATGATTTTTTTAGGGATTGTGGAGAGGGTTCAAGGGCTTAAGGTAGAGCTTTAGGGTTTGAGGGAGGGATTTGAAGGTTCGACATGGGGTTTTAGGGCCCCATGAGGCCTAATACAACAGAGTGCTCCACTACTCACGGGTGCATGGCCATGGTGGTGAGTTTGGTGTAGATGTCTTTGCAGGGTGCGTCTGCCGTGTTGCAGGTGAAGGCCTGCGGAGGGGGCATCTTGTGCTTCCTACAGAACTCCAGAGGGGTGAGGGCATATAGCTGCTTGGTCTCCTGGAGGTCTGACTTGGCTGCGATCATCATGCACGGCGTCTTGGTGTCCATGAAGTATTGCTGCAAAAGGCAGAGGGATATTGTTATTGGACACTGTCATGTGAAATTCAGCAATATACTTTTTTTAAAGAAGCCCATATTTGTAATAATATGGTAATAACAGATGGCTTCCGCTTTAAAAACATTTACTCTAATTCCGTGGTTGATTAGAAGCGTATTGGGTAGCCATCTTGAAATACTAAATAGACAAACACGGAAAGTAGAAGGACTGGTTGTGAACAGCACATACCTTGAAGACTCTGGCGCAGTACTCAAAGGAGTGGGGGTTGCTGGCGTCGTAGACCAGACACACAATGTCACAAGCTAGGTCAGCATCCGAGAGGACGTCAAAGTCTGGGAAGACCTCGTGGAGCTGAGGGAGAGGAGAGGAAAGAAGAAATGAATGAACACACACAGAAACACACACACAACGTTTAGGCTGAAAAGCTGTGGACAAACAAACACCATCTAATCGATTAAGAGTAAGTCAAAGACAACTCACCAGTAGGTATTTCTCCTGCCCATACACATATGCATTGCTGATAGCATAGTAGGACATGTGCTCTTCGCTAATGGTGTTTTGACGCTGAGAAAAAAAAGGAGGGGGGAAAATTATTCAAACATACAAAAGAGTTTACCAATACCAAGAGGAATTCCAAAAAGTTTTAAACAGGAAGTAGACTGAAGTATTTGGAGTGACATGGAGTTGTTAAATTTATGTTGTTCAAATGTTTCTTCTGTCCAGGGAAGTTATCCTTGCCACCGACTTACAACTTCCTCTTTGAGGGAATGAATTAATGTTGACACTGACCATGAGGTTTCTTCCAAGGAAGGCTTGTAGGAAGCCACTCTTGCCGCTGCCGCTGTCCCCGAAGACGTTACAGCGGAACACACTGCGCTGGGTCTGCTTCTTCTGCAGGTCAATCTTCTTGTCCCTCGTCACTGTAGAACGGAGAGGACACACAAACACAGTTTAGTTTACGCAGCAAATGAATGTATATAAATGAATGCTTAATATGCTTTGGATGTCATTAGTCCTATGCAGAATGTGGTTTCAGTGAGTGTAACTTCGTCACTGCTCTCTAGATAGAGAATTGAATACAATATGAAGTTCTAGCACACAATGTTAACAGGTTGGCTGTAGACTACAGCTTACAGCTAACTTTGGTAGAAGCCATCTTCGTCTTCTATATGTCTCTGCTCATATCTAATCTAGCGCTTGTCTCAGTTGCCATGACAATGGGCTGTCCTCCCACCTGTGATGGCTGCTGCCTGGGACTCCTGCTCAGAGATGATGGAGTAACCAAGATAACCCAGGTACTCCAGGCAGCGCTGGACATCCAGGTAGGTAGTCAACCTGGGCACAGGGATACACAGAGGAGTGAATGGAAACTGTCATACACTGTAAGACACACTGTCTTGGGGGTTCATTCAGACTTTCATAGTTTAGATAAACAAAAGAAACACTTTGTGCATTTAACACAGCAGTACATCTCTCTTGTGTGTGTGTGTGTCTGTCTGTGTGTGTTCAGGTGTGTGTGGTGGTAACCTACGTCCACTGGGACAGGTAGCCCTGGTAGGTGATCCAGCCTTCGTCGTTGGTGCACACCGTGTTGTTGACGTCGGGACCCCAGGGCATGTAGTGAAACACATCAAACAGGTCCTTCAGCTCCTCTGGGGACAGGGCACAATCCCGGTCCTGAAAAAAACACACACACCTCACCGGTCATTGGCATCTAGAACATACGGACAAACACTAGCTTGACCACTCGATTTATAGTTCATTCACTGCCAGCAGAGTTTAGAAACGGTTTTGACTTTTGTTAGTCTGAAATGTTGGCTCCAAATTCAATGGTATCATATACCACAGGAAAGGTCAATACCTTGTCATGCTTGTCGAAGACACTCTGGAGGAAGAGGTAGGCATTGTGATTCAGCTCTGTGGTGCAGTCTGGAGGTATTTTCAACCTGACGGTACAGTAGAGGTGGGGAACACACACATACACCACACACACACACACACACACACACACACCACAACAGTCAGATGGAGAATCCTGCAGAGATTACGAGATAAATAAGAAGATGACGGATTCAATTACGTCCTCAATGGACGCTCGGCAGGGGGAGAGAGAGAGACTTGTGGGTAATTGAGGTCAGAGCTAGAAGGGGGATGGATGTTAATCCTGACTGTTATACTGGGGTTTAGTGGCCCATCTCAATCTGAAAGAAGGGAGGCAGACATCTTTTGTTGTACTGGTGAAGCCGAAGTGTATTTCTGCATGGGAATCAATGTTGATAGATATTTATTATTACTTATTGGAAGTCTCTAAGGCTCAGATTGTCCTTGAGGAAGACAAAGGCAATAAAAGCATGATGGACTAGGCACACGGAATGGCCAATGTCTGTGCCTGTGGGTAGATGTAAAGACATGCACACTAATAGGTAGGGCTGGTAATTGCCAGGGACCTCACGATACGATATTATCACGATACTTACGTGCCGATATGATACAGTGGGGGAAAAAAGTATTTAGTCAGCCACCAATTGTGCAAGTTCTCCCACTTAAAAAGATGAGAGAGGCCTGTAATTTTCATCATAGGTACACGTCAACTATGACAGACAAAATTAGGGAAAAAAATCCAGAAAATCACAGTAGGATTTTTAATGAATTTATTTGCAAATTATGGTGGAAAATAAGTATTTGGTCAATAACAAAAGTTTCTCAATACTTTGTTATATACCCTTTGTTGGCAATGACACAGGTCAAACGTTTTCTGTAAGTCTTCACAAGGTTTTCACACACTGTTGCTGGTATTTTGGCCCATTCCTACATGCAGATCTCCTCTAGAGCAGTGATGTTTTGGAGCTGTCGCTGGGCAACACGGACTTTCAACTCCCTCCAAAGATTTTCTATGGGGTTGAGATCTGGAGACTGGCTAGGCCACTCCAGGACCTTGAAATGCTTCTTACGAAGCCACTCCTTCGTTGCCCGGGCGGTGTGTTTGGGATCATTGTCATGCTGAAAGACCCAGCCACGTTTCATCTTCAATGCCCTTGCTGATGGAAGGAGGTTTTCACTCAAAATCTCACGATACATGGCCCCATTCATTCTTTCCTTTACACGGATCAGTCGTCCTGGTCCCTTTGCAGAAAAACAGCCCCAAAGCATGATGTTTCCACCCCCATTCTTCACAGTAGGTATGTTGTTCTTTGGATGCAACTCAGCATTCTTTGTCCTCCAAACACGACGAGTTGAGTTTTTACCAAAAAGCTCTATTTTGGTTTCATCTGACATTCTGCCAATCCTCTTCTGGATCATCCAAACGCACTCTAGCAAACTTCAGACGGGCCTGGACATGTACTGGCTTAAGCAGGGGGACACATCTGGCACTGCAGGATTTGAGTCCCTGGCGGCGTAGTGTGTTACTGATGGTAGGCTTTGTTACTTTGGTCCCAGCTCTCTGCAGGTCATTCACTAGGTCCCCCCGTGTGGTTCTGGGATTTTTGCTCACCGTTCTTGTGATCATTTTGACCCCACGGGGTAAGATCTTCCGTGGAGCCCCAGATCGAGGGAGATTATCAGTGGTCTTGTATGTCTTCCATTTCCTAATAATTGCTCCCACAGTTGATTTCTTCAAACCAAGCTGCTTACCTATTGCAGATTCAGTCTTCCCAGCCTGGTGCAGGTCTACAATTTTGTTTCTGGTGTCCTTTGACAGCTCTTTGGTCTTGGCCATAGTGGAGTTTGGAGTGTGACTGTTTGAGGTTGTGGACAGGTGTCTTTAATACTGATAACAAGTTCAAACAGGTGCCATTAATACAGGTAACGAGTGGAGGACAGAGGAGCCTCTTAAAGAAGAAGTTACAGGTCTGTGAGAGCCAGAAATCTTGCTTGTTTGTAGGTGACCAAATACTTATTTTCCACCATAATTTGCAAATAAATTCATTAAAAATCCTACAATGTGATTTTCTGGATATTTTTTCTCAATTTGTCTGTCATAGTTGACGTGTACCTATGATGAAGATTACAGGCCTCTCTCATCTTTTTAAGTGGGAGAACTTGCACAATTGGTGGCTGACTAAATACTTTTTTTCCCCACTGTATGTATTACGATTCTCACGATTCTATATGTATAGTGATTCGATACTGTGATTTAATTGCGATTCGACGTTCCAAACATATTGCTCAACATATGTCTGCTGCAGAGGGACAAGAGAAAACAAGTTTTGATCAGTCATGGAAATAACAGTGCTGAAAACAAATTGGCACCCTAAATACTTGAGTTTTGGTGCGGGTACAGCCAACTAGCGCAAAAATTATATTTTGCGATATTGTCAAAACGATACAATATCGGCAAAATTGTATTGATTTCCCCCCCCCATCACTACTACAAGTGGGAGATAGTTTATTGATATGGGTGTAGAAGTAGACAGTAACACCCTGGAGGAATAGGTTATAGTGGAGATGCGGAAACAGACAGTACACTCACGTGAGTGGGGAACAGGTAGTCTTGGTGGAGTTCCAGGTCGTCGTCGTAGCCGAACCTCCTGAGACCGTCCAGGTGGTCTCATGTCTCCCCCTCTGGATGAAGAGAGGTGTGGAGGAACAGGAACCCTGAGGAGGACCAACAATGATAATAGGTCAACTAGAGTGAGTGTGTGGGTGTTCGGAATGTGGAAATGGGGACAGTATTAAACATTCACAACATGCTCAAAACATGTGCTTCAGAACTGAAAGAAGAGGAGGCAGACATCTTTTGTTGTACTGGTGAAGCGAAGTGTATTTCTGCATGGAATCAGTTGATAGATATTATTATTACTTATTGGAAGTCTCTAAGGCTCAGATTGTCCTTGAGGAAGACAAAGGCAATAAAAGCATGATGGACTAGGCACACGGAATGGCCAATGTCTGTGCCTGTGGGTAGATGTAAAGACATGCACACTAATAGGTAGGGCTGGTAATTGCCAGGGACCTCACGATACGATATTATCACGATACTTACGTGCCGATATGATACAGTGGGGGAAAAAAGTATTTAGTCAGCCACCAATTGTGCAAGTTCTCCCACTTAAAAAGATGAGAGAGGCCTGTAATTTTCATCATAGGTACACGTCAACTATGACAGACAAAATTAGGGAAAAAAATCCAGAAAATCACAGTAGGATTTTTAATGAATTTATTTGCAAATTATGGTGGAAAATAAGTATTTGGTCAATAACAAAAGTTTCTCAATACTTTGTTATATACCCTTTGTTGGCAATGACACAGGTCAAACGTTTTCTGTAAGTCTTCACAAGGTTTTCACACACTGTTGCTGGTATTTTGGCCCATTCCTACCATGCAGATCTCCTCTAGAGCAGTGATGTTTTGGAGCTGTCGCTGGGCAACACGGACTTTCAACTCCCTCCAAAGATTTTCTATGGGGTTGAGATCTGGAGACTGGCTAGGCCACTCCAGGACCTTGAAATGCTTCTTACGAAGCCACTCCTTCGTTGCCCGGGGGTGTGTTTGGGATCATTGTCATGCTGAAAGACCCAGCCACGTTTCATCTTCAATGCCCTTGCTGATGGAAGGAGGTTTTCACTCAAAATCTCACATACATGGCCCCATTCATTCTTTCCTTTACACGGATCAGTCGTCCTGGTCCCTTTGCAGAAAAACAGCCCCAAAGCATGATGTTTCCACCCCCATTCTTCACAGTAGGTATGTGTGTTCTTTGGATGCAACTCAGCATTCTTTGTCCTCCAAACACGACGAGTTGAGTTTTTACCAAAAAGCTCTATTTTGGTTTCATCTGACATTCTGCCAATCCTCTTCTGGATCATCCAAACGCACTCTAGCAAACTTCAGACGGGCCTGGACATGTACTGGCTTAAGCAGGGGGACACATCTGGCACTGCAGGATTTGAGTCCCTGGCGGCGTAGTGTGTTACTGATGGTAGGCTTTGTTACTTTGGTCCCAGCTCTCTGCAGGTCATTCACTAGGTCCCCCCCGTGTGGTTCTGGGATTTTTGCTCACCGTTCTTGTGATCATTTTGACCCCACGGGGTAAGATCTTCCGTGGAGCCCCAGATCGAGGGAGATTATCAGTGGTCTTGTATGTCTTCCATTTCCTAATAATTGCTCCCACAGTTGATTTCTTCAAACCAAGCTGCTTACCTATTGCAGATTCAGTCTTCCCAGCCTGGTGCAGGTCTACAATTTTGTTTCTGGTGTCCTTTGACAGCTCTTTGGTCTTGGCCATAGTGGAGTTTGGAGTGTGACTGTTTGAGGTTGTGGACAGGTGTCTTTAATACTGATAACAAGTTCAAACAGGTGCCATTAATACAGGTAACGAGTGGAGGACAGAGGAGCCTCTTAAAGAAGAAGTTACAGGTCTGTGAGAGCCAGAAATCTTGCTTGTTTGTAGGTGACCAAATACTTATTTTCCACCATAATTTGCAAATAAATTCATTAAAAATCCTACAATGTGATTTTCTGGATATTTTTTCTCAATTTGTCTGTCATAGTTGACGTGTACCTATGATGAAGATTACAGGCCTCTCTCATCTTTTTAAGTGGGAGAACTTGCACAATTGGTGGCTGACTAAATACGTTTTATCCCCACTGTATGTATCACGATTCTATATGTATAGTGATTCGATACTGTGATTTAATTGCGATTCGACGTTCCAAACATATTGCTCAACATATGTCTGCTGCAGAGGGACAAGAGAAAACAAGTTTTGATCAGTCATGGAAATAACAGTGCTGAAAACAAATTGGCACCCTAAATACTTGAGTTTTGGTGCGGGTACAGCCAACTAGCGCAAAAATTATATTTTGCGATATTGTCAAAACGATACAATATCGCAAAATTGTATTGATTTCCCCCCCCCATCACTACTACGAGGGGAGATAGTTTGTTGATATGGGTGTAGAAGTAGACAGTACACCCTGGAGGAATAGGTTATAGTGGAGATGCGGAAACAGACAGTACACTCACGTGAGTGGGAACAGGTAGTCTTGGTGGAGTTCCAGGTCGTCGTCGTAGCCGAACCTCCTGAGGACCGTCCAGGTGGTCTCATGTCTCCCCCTCTGGATGAAGAGAGTGTGGAGGAACAGGAACCCTGAGGAGGACCACAATGATATAGGTCAACTAGAGTGAGTGTGTGGGTGTTCGGAATGTGGAATATGGGGACATTATTCAAACATATCACAACATGCTCAAACATGGTGCTTCAGAAAGGTGTGACTAGTTCTTTAAGAAATACAGGACTGAGCTGGCAAAGAAACAGAAAAGGACAAACATTTGGATCAACAGGAACTTCATTGTCCACTCCCTCCTTTTGTTAATAGAGCATACCTTTGAGAGTGAGGCCGTTGTCACACACACCGTCGATCACATTCTTCCTCACAACATTCTTCACATCCTCCAGGGCCTGAGACGCCAGTGGGGCATTGAAGCATGTCCTCTGCGCACACACACACACAAAATCACAAAACCTGTCAAGGAAAACACTGAAATAACTCTATTTAAACCCTTCACCTGAATGAAAAAGGGCTAGTTAACTTGTTATTACTGTAATTAATGTATGCTTGTGCTGCTCTAGGAGTCAGAGTCACAGAGTTCAAACTCACTTGGAAGAAGTTGAGCTCATTATCATTGAGGATCCCATCGTTGTCCAGGTCTGATACCTTGAAGATGCGAGTCAGCGCTTTGATGCAAGCAGGCTTCATCTGGGAATCAAGTCAAATCAACAGTATAATGATACAGTTGGCCTCAAAGTAAACGTGAGATTTTATGAACAATTCTTATTCTGTAACATTCTGTTAAGAGGGCTTCTTCACCCTTTACCTGTTTCTCCTCTGGGCAGTATAGGGGACCAGTGGGGTGCAGGACAGCTTTTTGGGCGTAGTAAAACAACTCAGAAATGTTCTTCAGGTTCTTTGCTGAACACTAAAAAAAAAGTTATGGAAATACAGAAAGAACATACAAAATATGAATTTCATTCATCCTGAAATAATATTTATATTTACCAACATATCAAAAACAACAATGCAGTTCCTGCCCTGAACTAAAATACCTAAACAAATATCACAGTGCAGAAAGCACTTAAAGCTGGAATCCTTAAACGGTGAAACTTCCAATTTGGGATATTACAACAACAAAGAAGTTACTGCCTAAAACGAACACTGCAAGCTGCTCGACTCACCTCCGTTTCGTCCACAAAACAAAAACAATAACAAAGGTGCTGGGGCGGACAGTGCTGCTGTTTCCCCTAATGCGGATTTCATCTTTAAGCTGTGCACTCAAAAATGACAAACTCTCTCTCTTTCTTTCCACTAGATGGGTCAGGAAAGTGAGAGTTGTTTACAGTAGAGTATAGTAGTGTTCTACATCAGTCTCCATTGTGACCTGGCTGGCTGGGGCCAGGGAGGATTTAACAGCCAGGATCTGTCTGAGGGATAAGCCATTACTAATTAGACTGTGAAACATGGAGGAGGAAGCAGCCAAAGCGGGACTTTGGACACGGCTCTATGGCTAGCTGGGTGGAGGAAAGCCATGGGGGTCAAACTCTAGGGTTGATTGGATCAGTTTGATTGTCAAGTCTGTTTCCTTATAATAATAATAATAATATGCCATTTAGCAGACGCTTTTATCCAAAGCGACTTACAGTCATGCGTGCATACATTTTTTTTTTTGTGTATGGGTGGTCCCGGGGATCGAACCCACTACCTTGGCGTTACAAGCGCCGTGCTCTACCAGTTGAGCTACAGAGGACCACAATCAAATGTAGGACCACAATCAAATGTATCCATAGTATACAGTGCATTCGGAAAATATTCAGACCCCCTTGGCTTTTTCCACATTTTGTTACGTTACAGCCGCATTCTAAATGGATTAAATTGTTTTTTCCCCCCTCATCAATCTACACATAATACCCCATAAAGACAAAGCAAAAACAGTTTTTTAATTTTTGCTAAAATATCACATTTACATAAGTATTCAGACCCTTTACTCAGTACTTTGTTGAAGCACCTTTGGCAGCGATTACAGCCTTGAGTCTTCTTGGGTATGACGCTACAAGCTTGGCACATCTGTATTTGGGGAGTTTCTCCCATTCTTCTCTGCAGATCCTCTCAAGCTCTGTCAGGTTGGATCGGAAGCGTCGCTGCACCGCTATTTTCAGGTCTTTCCAGAGATATTAGAGATAGGGTTCAAGTCCGGGCTCTGGCTGGGCCACTCAAGGACATTCAGAGACCTGTCCCGAAGCCACTCCTGCGTTGTCTTGTGTTTAGGGTCGTTGTCCTGATGGAAGGTGAACCTTCGCCCCAGTCTGAGGTCCTGAGCGCTCCAGAGCAGGTTTTCATCAAGGATCTCTCTGTACTTTGCTCCGTTCATCTTTCCCTCGATCTTGACTAGTCTCCCAGTCCCTGCGGCTGAAAAACATCCCCACAGCATGATGCTGCCACCACCATGCTTCACCGTAGGGATGGTGCCAGGTTTCCTCCAGACGTGACGCTTGGCATTCAGGCCAAAGAGTTCAATCTTGGTTTCATCAGACCAGAGAATCTTGTTTCTCATGGTCTGAGACCTTTAGGATCCTATTTTGTTGCCTTACAACCTGGAATTAAAATGGATTTTGGGGGGGTTTGTATCATTTGATTTACATAACACGCCTACCACTTTGAAGATGCAAAATATTTTTTGGGGTGAAACAAACAAGACATAAGACAAAAAAACTGAAATCTTGAGCGTGCATAACTATTCACCCTCACAAAGTCAATACTTTGTAGAGCCACCTTTTGCAGCAATTACAGCTGCAAGTCTCTTGGGGTATGTCTCTATAAGCTTGGCACATCTAGCCACTGGGATTTTTGCCCATTCTTCAAGGCAAAACTGCTCCAGCTCCTTCAAATTGGATGGGTTCCGCTGGTGTACAGCAATCTTTAAGTCATACCACAGATTCTCAATTGAATTGAGGTCTGGGCTTTGACTAGGCCATTCCAAGACATTTAAATATGTTTCCTCTTAAACCACTCGAGTGTTGCTTTAGCAGTATGCTTAGGGTCATTGTCCTGCTGGAAGGTGAACCTCCGTCCCAGTCTCAAATCTCTGGAAGACTGAAACAGGTTTCCGTCAAGAATTTCCCTGTATTTAACGCCATCCATCATTCATTCAATTCTGACCAGTTTCCCAGTCCCTGCCGATGAAAAACATCCCCACAGCATGATGCTGCCACCACCATGCTTCACTGTGGGGATGGTGTTCTCGGGGTGATGAGAGGTGTTCGGTTTGCGCCAGACATAGCGTTTTCCTTGATGGCCAAAAAGCTCAATTTTAGTCTCATTTGACCAGAGTACCTTCTTCCATGTTTGGGGAGTCTCCCCCATGCCTTTTGGCGAACACCAAACGTGTTGGCTTATTTTTTTCTTTAAGCAATGTAAAGCCCAGCTCTGTGGAGTGAACGGCTTAAAGTGGTCCTATGGACACTTCGTCTCTTTGTTGCCTCTCTGATTAATGCCCTCCTTGCCTGGTCCGTGAGTTTTGGTGGGCGGCCCTCTCTTGGCAGGTTTGTTGTGGTGCCATATTCTTTCCATTTTTTTATAATGGATTTTAAATGGTGCTCCGTGGGATGTTCAAAGTTTCATTTTTTAAATTTTTTATAACCCAACCCTGATCTGTACTTCTCCACAACTTTGTCCCTGACCTGTTTGGAGAGCTCCTTGTTTTTCATGGTGCCGCTTGCTTGGTGGTGCCCCTTGCTTAGTGGTGTTGCAGACTCTGGGGCCTTTCAGAACAGGTGTATTTATACTGAGATCATGTGACAGATCATGTGACACTTAGATTGCACACTGGTGTACTTTATTTAACTAATTATGTGACTTCTGAAGGTAATTGGTTGCACCAGATCTTATTTAGGGGCTTCATAGCAAAGGGGGTGAATACATATGCACGCACCCCTTTTCCGTAATTTATCTTAGATTTTTTTTTTAAACAAGTTATTTTATTCATTTCACTTCACCAATTTGGACTGTTTTGTGTATGTCCATTACCTGTAATCCAAATAAAATCCATTTAAATTACAAGTTGTAATGCAACAAAATAGGAAAAACGCCAAGGGGGATGAATACTTTTGCAAGGCACTGTATAGTCTTAATGTATATAGTCTTTGTATGGACTCACATTGTCACCCTGTATGATGATGGTAAAAGCTACATAGATAGAGCATGTTTTCTGGGACCAGCTTTAAACCCTACAGATTTAGATTTACAACATGTAACATTTGTAAGCTCTATAGCAGCACAATAAAACCTGTATAGCTGTATAAAAAGGACTGTTCAAATATAAGCCCCACCCCTGTTATACATCTTTAATAGATACCGGAACTGTTCAAGCCATTCTAAAAATAGTTACTGTAGCAGACATTTACAGTCATTTCTTTTCATTGATTTATCTTCATTGCTACATTTGGAGGTGCATCACTCCTCTGTTAGAGTGATAAGTGTGCATGATAAGTGATAAGTGTACATGATAAGTATACATAAGTGTGCATGATAAATGATAAGTGTGCATGGTAAGAGATAAGTGTGCATGATAAGTATAAATGATAAGTGTGAATGATGAGAATACATGATAAGTGTGCATGATAAGTACACATGATAAGTGTGCGTAAATGCTGATAAATCTACATGGGGTGAGTAGGTCAGTGGCTTTTACGCAGCCTCTGTGCTATATCTGGCGATGAATCACTACTCTGTGTAGTGAAGTCACAGTGCTACAACACAGTGGGTGACTCAGTACAGAAGCCCTCTGGCAGTCTCACCTCCACACATGTCTCTATCTCAGTGTACTGGTTCATGATGGGCAGGATGGTCTCCATGCTGCTGTGTTCCACCAGGTCAGACTTGTTCCCCACCAGGATGACAGGAACCCTATAGGGGGAGGACGGAGAGAGAGAAAGGTTGTAAATGGTTGATTGGATTGTTTTTATAGAGTTATTTACTAGGTTTTAAAGCTTTACATTCAGGGCCATTTTCCCAATACAGACATAAAATCATGTGATTGTAGTGTGTGATGTCATGTATACTGGCGAGGTCTCCCTTGGAAAATACATATTTTCTTATCTCAATTGGTCTTCCTAGAAATAATATTATAATGTGGTGGGTCTGCATGCATGAAACTAGGCTCAACATGACTTATTGTATTTCTTGACTGCTGTTCTACTGAGAAAATGAGTCAATTTACTGAAATGACTCAAGTTGTGAAAAGCGTGGACTTGTGTCTATGACTCATTCCCATCTCCTCTTTCAAAACGTTAGGAAAACATCCATGCATATATCATATATTGAACAGAAAACACATTCATGTAACTTCATGTAGAGTGCCTTTTACAGCGACCCAGTTGGGTGAACCCTGGTAGTGGTTGAGCATTGCAATACACATACCACATAGGATACCCACTACTACACTGCACCCCCCATACTCTTCATGTTATAGGTCATTAAGACAATAGCGTAACCATTGCAAAAGCTCATGCAGGAACTGGGCTACATACGTAAGAACCACAATTAAACCTAGACTGCATCCCTCACCTGCTGTCCTTGTCTGTATTGTCATTTATAAGAGGAATCCAATGACTGGTCACCTAACGGAATACATGATGGTGAAGACATGACATTACAAAAAGCAAACATGAGTATGAACTGGCTGATATCATAACATAATGTGCATATAGTACTTCAAAAATACACATATACAATGAAATCCTAGGCTATGACTAAACTCACCTTCTCAATGGACTTCTTGTTGTTGACGGCGTACACTATGCAAATCACATTGGCCTGTAAAGGGAGCGACAACCATTACGATCTGGACTCTGCAAGACTCTCAAATCTTTCTACAATAGTAAACATTGATTCTAATCTCACCTTTGATATTTCTGAAGACAACTGCTCATCTGTTTGTTCCGCCTCTGTGCGAGTTAAAACATGCAGTTAGTGAACAACAGGACAGTATTAGTGTAGTAGTTCAGTGTACATGGCTTGAATGTACAATAACATGTTTACCCATGGTTTGCATAGTACAACAGAGATAAGGTATACATGATATAGCTCCACTGTTAGTACAGTTACAGTACCTGAGTAGTCTACTATGTGTGTAGGAACTCTCTCTGGGGTGACATCTGCCGGTATGGTGATCTCTTCAGCCCGGTAGGGCACCTGTTACAAGGAACCAACCAAGGATGACCGTCATAAAGAGACACCAATGGGATACTCAAAACGTACATTCCACTTAGGTAATGCAGGGGCGGCAGGTAGCTTAGTGGTTAAGAGCGTTGTGCCAGTAACCGAAAGGTCGCTGGTTCTAATCCCCGAGCCGACTAGGTGAAAAATATGTCGTTGTGCCCTTGAGCAAGGCACTTTACCCTAATTGGTCCTGTAAGTCGCTCTGGATAAGAGCGTCTGCTAAATGACTAAAATGTAAATAACTGTTTATGAGTACTACTGCTGATCATCCAGATGTGCATCTCCCACGGGGAGTTACCCCGTCTACCCGATACAATTCAAAGCACTCAGTTTGAGAATAGTGCTTCATAGGCTGAATAGACATACCAGTAATCATTATTATGAAATCGATTTACTAAACCCAGAGAGGTTACAGGAAGCGTCTTTACGTACCACCTGTGGGAACTCCTCGCTGACCAGCGACATGATCAGGGAAGTCTTCCCCACCTTGGCTGTTGGGAAAAAAGAAGACGAGGAGGATGTCATATTGGCTCAGTGTCACGCCTGGCAATGAGACTCTTCTCAATACTAGAATTGGCAGAGGGAGAGGCAATGTGCACAGCCTCACACTTTCTATTGCATTATTATCATGTGTACGTAAAGTAACTGTTTTGGAATTGCAGCCTGTCATGCATTGTTTCTCTGTACATTTCAAACATCATAGCTGGCATGAAGAGATAGGCTTGCCTTGTACAAATTGGCAGTCTGTGCTTCACACACACAAAGGAGAGATAGTGATGCTGCTGCTTCTGCTGCTGCAGTGAAATATTAGATCCCTCTTACACCAAGTTGCCGCATTCATGGCCAGAGAGAGCTACTTGACAGCTTACTAAATCACAATAGGGCTTTGCTTTAGAAGGGAAGAGAATTGAATTAGGCAAATGTGAAATGTTGAGCCCTGGGTCCCTGTATAAACAGTACAGTGCATTCGGAAAGTATTCAGACCCCTTGACGTTTTCCACATTTTGCTACGTTACAACCTTATTCTAAAATTGATTTAATTGGTTTTTTTCCTTATCAATCTACACACAATACCCCATAATGACAAAGCAAATAACAGGTTTTTAGAATTGTTTGCAAAAAACAAACACAAAAAAAACTGAAATATCACATGGCTGCACAGCTATTTTCAGGTCTCTCCAGAGATGTTTGATCTGGTTCAAGTCCGGGCTCTGGCTGGGCCACTCAAGGACATTCAGAGACTTGTCCCAAAGCCACTCCTGCATTGTCTTGGCTGTGTGCTTAGGGTCGTTGTCCTGTTGGAAGGTGAACCTTCGCCTCAGTCTGAGGTCCTGAGCGCTTTGATCCTGACTAGTCTCCCAGTCCCTGCCTCTGAAAAACATCCCAACAGCATGATGCTTCCACCACTATGCTTCACCTGGATGGTGCCAGGTTTCCTCCAAACGTGACACTTGGCATTCAGGCCAAATAGTTCAATCTTGTTTCTCATGGTCTTTACGTGCCTTTTGGCAAACTCCAAGCGGGCTGTCATGTGCCTTTTACTGAGGAGTGGCTTCCATCTGGCCACTCTACCATAAAGGCCTGATTGATGGAGTGCTGCAGAGATGGTTGTCCTCCTGGAAAGTTCTCCCATCTCCACAGAGGAACTCTAGAGCTCTGTCAGTGACCATCGGGTTCTTGGACACTTCCCTGACCAAGGCCCTTCTCCCCCGATTGCTCAGTCTGGCCGGGCGGCAAGCTCTAGGAAGAGTCTTGGTGGTTCCAAACTTCTTCCATTTAAGAATGATGGAGGCCACTGTTCTTGGGGACCTTCAATTCTGCAGAAATGTTTTGGTACCCTTTCCCAGATCTGTGCCTCGACACAATCCTGTCTTGGAGCTCTATGGACAATTCCTTCGACCTCATGGCTTGGTTGTTGCTCTGACATGGACTGTCAACTGTGGGACCTTATATAGACAGGTGTGTGCCTTTTCCAAATCATGTCCAATCAATTGAATTTACCACACGTGGGCTCCAATCAAGTTGTAGAAACATCTCAAGGATGATCAATGGAAACAGGATGCACCTGAGCTCAATTTCGAGTCTCATAGCAAAGGGTCTGAATACTTACGTAAATAAGGTATTTCTGTTTTGTAAAAAAAAAAAAAAAACTTTTCGTTTTCCCATTATAGGGTATTGTGTGTAGATAATAAGGCTGTAACGTAACAAAATGTGGAACAAGTCAACGGTCTGAATACTTTCCGAAGGCACTGTATAACAAACCCTGTTATTAGAGAGAATCATACACTACATGGCCAAAAGTATGTGGACACCTGCTCGTCTAACATCTCATTCCAAAATCATGGGCATTAATATGGAGTTGGTCCCCCCCTTTGCTGTTATAACAGCCTCCACTCTCCTGGGAAGGCTTTCCTCTAGATGTTGGAACATTGCTGCGGGGACTTGCTTCCATTAATCCACAAGAGCATTAGTGTTCGATGGGGTTGAGGTCAGGGCTCTGTGCAGGCCAGTCAAGTTCTTCCACACCGATCTCGACAAACCATTTCTGTATGGACCTCGCTTTGTGCACAGGGGCATTGTCATGCTGAAACAGGAAAGGGCCTTCCCCAAACTGTTGCCACAAAGTTGGAAGCACAGAATCGTCTAGAATGTCATTGTATGCTGTAGCATTAAGATTTCCCTTCACTGGAACTAAGGGGCCTAGCCCGAACCATAAAAACAGCCCCAGACCATTATTCTTCCTCCACCAAACTTTACAGTTGGCACTATGCATTCGGGCAGGTAGCGTTCTCCTGACATCCGCCAAACCCAGATTCGACCATCGGACTGCCAGATGGTGAAGCGTGATTTATCACAACTCCAGTCGACGCTTGGCATTGCACATGGTGATTTTATGCTTGTGTGCGGCTGGTCGGCCATGGAAACCCATTTCATGAAGCTCCCGGCGAACAGTTATTGCGCTGACGTTGTTTCCAGAGGCAGTTTGGAACTCAGCAGTGAATGTTACAACTGAGGACAGACCATTTTTACACGCATCAGCACTCTGCGGTCCCGTTCTGTGAGCTTGTGTGGCCTACCACTTCGCGGCTGAGCTGTTGTTGCTCCTAGACGTTTCCACTTTACAATAACAGCACTTACAGTTGACCAGGGCAGCTCTAGCAGGGCAGAAATTTGACAAACTGACTTGTTGGAAAGGTGGCATCCTATGACGGTGCCACGTTGAAAGTCACTGAGCTCTTCAGTACAGGCCATTCTACTGCCAATGTGTCTATGGAGATTGCATGGCTGTGTGCTTGGTTTTATTCACCTGTCAGCAACGGGTGTGGCTGAAATAGCCAAATCCACTCATTTGAAGGGTTGTACACATACTTTTGGCCATGCAGTGTATCTTGAAAGTGGACAGGTGCTGCTCAGGTGAGTCAGAGTGAATGTTTTGAACACATTAACTAAAGCTGACATTTAGCTGGAGCTAATTGCTTAGATGTCAATTGCAAAACCATGCACTGATATGACAAACATGTCATGTGGACAGGCAGTCAGTCAGCATCACAGCAGATGGTAAATAGCCAATGTCACTTGGTCTAAACATCAAATTGTTTAGGATACTAGCTAGCTAGCTAGCTATGTTATGTTATGACACTAATGGCCGAGTAGTGTGTAGCGTAGCTACCATCATGGTGTGTGTATGTGGTAGTGTAACGTTAGCTATAAAACTGGATGAACCTAGTGGAACAACACAGCTAGCTAGTCCTCGTACCAGCATCACGCGCTCCTCCAGCTGGCTGTCATGCATGCAGGCTGGAGCTTGACAGTAAGACAGAACTACCAGAGTAGACCAAAACAAATCCACTTACGCTCTCCCACAAGTAATATTCTGACGTCTTTCCGCATCTTCACCACTGTTGAAGACCAAATCTGCAAATTCGTTCATGAAAATCATTTATGCTCTCGTGTGGTTGAATACATTCAGCGTTCAGCTATCTGGCCTGGCTTACGTCTGCATTTTCCCAGTTGAGCTTCACCAACAGAAACCTAACTGACACTGCGCTGCGTTCGTAGTAAATGCCCTGCACTGAATGATATTCCCGAACGGCTTCTTGGAAAGCGGTGTCCTCTCTTTGACATAAATCTTAGCTGGTGTGGTTGGTTGTAGCTGCTACTGTCGACATTGATATTACAGTCATTCGTCTGCACACAAACCTGAATGTTACGACCGCGCAAGCTAGCCTGAACCTGAAGTTACGACCCGCCTCCAACGAGGCGCGCGAGGGGACAAATGTTGTACAGCTACTACAACAATGCAAAAGTCCATACATTCTTTGGGTGAAATAAAAAAGCAACATACATTTTTTTAAGTGATTGTCATTTTATTTTTTACCTCTAATAGGAATATTGTGCTAAATATATTAATTCCTAAAAAAATTATTTTATTTATCTCATTCATAAACAGACAACTCATTCCTAAATATTTTATTTTATTTATCTCATTCACAAACAGACAACTCTTTATGTTGTCCCCATCCTCACATCACCTTATGACGCCCAAGGAGGAAAGGACAGAGCATTGTTTGGCTTCAGCCCAAACAGCCAGAACACTGGCCTCACTGGCTCTGTGAATCCCTCCTCCACACAATGCAGCAGTGTCTGACTGTCAGACAGGCTATAAAACGACAAGGTCCCATTCGTCACGTCCAGAGCCAGTCTAACGATACTGGGGCAGCCATGTTTGATAAACTCCTCTATGTTATCGTGCCAATAGCACAACTTGTCCCTGCTCCACTCCAGGCACCAGGAGTTGGCTGTGCGACCCAGGTGATCTCTGCGGCCGATGCTGAGGTAGGAAACGCCGACGGCCCAGCTCGCACTCGCCGACGTATCCACGTCCCAATAGTGGCAGCCTTCACTGAACTCCTGCTCCGCCATCCATTGGCTGATGTCAAAGCGGTCAATCGTGGCATGCGGAGGACGCCCTTTTGGTCACCACTCTGTGCTCTTTGGGTAGGATGGTCAGGCGCCTGTGGCCCAGGGCTGGGTTGAAGGTGAGCCAGGAGAAGCTGGCCCCAGGCAGGGGATGGGGTGGAGGGGCGAAGCCTGCTGACATATATGGTCAGATACGGACAAAATGTGAGATTGAAGTCATTAGATGAATGCAGTAAAGTTTTTCAGCTTTATGTAGCCTACTGTATCTGACCATTGTGGAAAAAGTACCCAATTGTCACACTTGAGTAAAAGTAAAGATATTGAGTAAAAGTAAAGATATCTTAAAGGAAAATTCCACTCAAAAACTATATTTTGGTATTTGTTTCATTAGTCCATTGTTGACATAGTCCCACAATGGTTTGCTTGTCAGCAATCAAGTTTTCAATATACAGTGGGGAGAACAAGTATTTGATACACTGCCGATTTTGCAGGTTTTCCTACTTACAAAGCATGTAGAGGTCTGTAATTTTTATCATAGGTACACTTCAACTGTGAGAGACAGAATATAAAATCCAGAAAATCACATTGTATGATTTTTAAGTAATTAATTTGCATTTTATTGCATGACATAAGTATTTGATCACCTACCAACCAGTAAGAATTCCGGCTCTCACAGACCTGATAGTTTTTCTTTAAGAAGCCCTCCTGTTCTCCACTCATTACCTGTATTAACTGCACCTGTTTGAACTTGTTACGTGTATAAAAGACACCTGTCCACACACTCAATCAAACAGACTCCAACCTCTCCACAATGGCCAAGACCAGAGAGCTGTGTAAGGACATCAGGGATAAAATTGTAGACCTGCACAAGGCTGGGATGGGCTACAGGACAATAGGCAAGCAGCTTGGTGAGAAGGCAACAACTGTTGGCGCAATTATTAGAAAATGGAAGAAGTTCAAGATGACGGTCAATCACCCTCGGTCTGGGGCTCCATGCAAGATCTCACCTCGTGGGGCATCAATGATCATGAGGAAGGTGAGGGATCAGCCCAGAACTACACAGCAGGACCTGGTCAATGACCCGAAGAGAGCTGGGACCACAGTCTCAAAGAAAACCATTAGTAACACACTACGCCGTCATGGATTAAAATCCTGCAGCGCACGCAAGGTCCCCCTGCTCAAGCCAGCGCATGTCCAGGCCCGTCTGAAGTTTGCCAATGACCATCTGGATGATCCAGAGGAGGAATGGGAGAAGGTCATGTGGTCTGATGGGACAAAAATTGAGCTTTTTGGTCTAAACTCCACTCGCCGTGTTTGGAGGAAGAAGAAGGATGAGTACATCCCCAAGAACACCATCCCAACCGTGAAGCAAGGGGTGGAAACATAATTCTTTGGGGATGCTTTTCTGCAAAGCGGACAGGACGACTGCACCGTATTGAGGGGAGGATGGATGGGGCCATGTATCGCGAGATCTTGGCCAACAACCTTCTTCCCTCAGTAAGAGCATTGAAGATGGGTCGTGGCTGGGTCTTCCAGCATGACAACGACCCGAAACACACAGCCAGGGCAACTAAGGAGTGGCTCCGTAAGAAGCATCTCAAGGTCCTGGAGTGGCCTAGCCAGTCTCCAGACCTGAACCCAATAGAACATCTTTGGAGGGAGCTGAAAGTCCGTATTGCCCAGCGACAGCCCCGAAACCTGAAGGATCTGGAGAAGGTCTGTATGGATGAGTGGGCCAAAATCCCTGCTGCAGTGTGTGCAAACCTGGTCAAGACCTATAGGAAACATATGATCTCTGTAATTGTAAACAAAGGTTTCTGTACCAAATATTAAGTTCTGCTTTTCTGATGTATCAAATACTTATGTCATGCAATAAAATGCAAATTAATTACTTAAAAATCATACAATGTGATTTTCTGGATTTTTGTTTTAGATTCCATCTCTCACAGTTGAAGTGTACCTATGATAAAAAATTACAGACCTCTACATGCTTTGTAAGTAGGAAAACCTGCAAAATCGGCAGTGTATCAAATACTTGTTCTCCCCACTGTATATATTCCCCTTTATTACTTTCCAACCCCACCACCCTTTCCCTACTTGGAGTAAACTAGTGAACAACAATGATTAGGCCTCTACTTCCAGCTTATACCTACTATCTACATTTTATGGACACAGTCCATTTTACAATAATTATATTTTGTTTGTTTTTTCTCCTGAACTTCCTCTACTCTCAACCTCTCTGATCATTTTCATGATGTCCATCCGGTTTGCTTCTATATGCCATATCTTTCTAACTGTGCTCTTTCACAAAAGCTCCCAACCTACAACCTATATACTTATTATGGACACAGTATGCTTACATTATTAGTTATCTTGTAATTATTTGTTGTTAGTTGTTATTAGTCCCATCCTTCAATTCCATTCAACACCTCCCATCTATCTTTTAACACCATCCATATAGGATTTCTATTTGCCATATATATTTCAACTGTACTGTGATGTCTTACAAAAGTTCTGAACCTTTCTATTCTCATTGTTTCTACAGATTGTGAATTGAAAATAAACATTTTTGCTAAAAGTATTATTATGTTATTGATCGATTGACTATGACTTTTCAGATCACCCAGTAATGAAGTTGTTAATGTTAGCTCCATCCTTTGAAAACAGAAACGTGAAAAGATTCTGGGGATGAGTATGCACATCTTAAATATTTGTTCCTCTTTAATTTGCCCATATGAAGTCTGTTATGGCATAGTATCATTTTTAAAAAGAATGTCTTCGGTGGAGTAATTTGTATTACCGAAAATAAATATAAAAACTTTGAGAGCCATGCCATTCTAAAGAGGTTTATTCTACCTGGTAGATTTATGGGGCGATTGTTTCAATTAGATCTGCTTTCATGTTGTTGAGTAATGGGGTAAAGTTATCTTTATATATTTGTTGTTTGTCATCACTTATTAAGCATCCTAAGTATTTCATATTTCTTGTGGTCCACTTAAATAATTGCTGTAGATCATGAGTTATTATTTTTATTTTTCCTATTGCCATGATTATTTTTTATACGTGTTAATTTTATATCCTAACATTTTAGAGTATTCCGAGTTCTCCCCACTGTATGTAACTTTCAAAATACAGAAATCATCCCTATATGATGCATTTTGCAAATACCAAAATATAGTTTTTGGGTGGAGTTTTCCTTTAATAGAAAATGACTGAAGTAAAAGTGAAAGTCACCCAGTAAAATACTACTTGAGTAAAAGTCTAAAAGTATTTGGTTTTAAATATACTTAAGTATCAAAAGTAAAAGTATAAATCATATCAAATTCTTTATATTAAGCCAACTAGAGGGCACAATTTTCTTGTTTTTTAAATTATGGATAGCCAGGGGCACACTCCAGCGTAATTTACAAACTAAACATTTGTGTTTAGTGAGTCCACCAGATCAGAGGCAGTAGGGATGACCTGGGTTGTTTTCTTGATAAGTGCGTGAATTTGACAATTTTCCTGTCCTGCTAAGCATTCAAAATGTAACAAGTACTTTTGGGTGTCAGGGAAAATGTATGGAGTTTTAAGTACATTATTTTCTTTAGGAATGTAGTGAAGTAAAAGTAAAAGTTGTCCAAAATATAAAAAGTAAAGTACAGATACCCCCCAAAACTACTTAAGTAGTACTTTAAAGTATTTTTATTTAAGTACTTTACACCGCTGGTATATCTGATGTACTCTAATGACACAGATGTCTTTGAATGGCCATACTGTATATAGGCTACCCCACCTAGTGGTTGATTGGTGAAACAGCACATTATATTTACAGTTTCAGTACATTATAAGGAGTAATATTCAAATGAGACTCAAGAATAGGACAAAGTCTACAGTCTACCTTCGGCCCTGTGTCTGTCATTTGATGGAGGGGAGATGGGCAACTCCTGAAACCGACCGTCATGGGTGGCTGGGACATCAGGACACCTGTCATCTGTCACCTCTGAGCTTGTGTCATTTATAACAACAGGGGCCTCCGCCTATATGACAGGTGGCACAACACAGGAGCATGAAAAGTATCTTTAAAAAATAAAACTGACTAAGAATGAGGAAGTTGTAGCTTACTGTAAATACTGTATCTGGGAAGTTTACCTGTTGCTGTTGAATAGTACTTCCAAGCTCAGATGGTCTGTTGATATCAGTCTCTTGTGAGTGTGAGGCAACACATTCTTCAGCTTTATCCTCTTTGAAGTCCTGGCAATTATATAATGTAATATCATATAATATTCTATAGTTGTGCACTTTTTTATTGTAAAACATAAAAAGTGTATCCGCCAAACTGATTTATTCCTATTTAGAATTCCATGTACACACAGGTGTTATTATGTCGCGACGTTGATCGTGACAGGAGTCAATAAGCATACTTTTTAACTTACCACTTCCATTTCATGTCCTTTTGTAGATTCTTCGTTGGATAAAAAACGTTTATGGTCGCAATGAACATTAACGATGTTATAAAGTGTAAAATTTCTAGGCAGTTTTAAACCTGGTTTAATTTTACCTCTGCATTGGGGACATTCCTTCTTCCCATTCGCTTTTCCACGTAGATAATCATCTAAACATTTCATACAATAACTGTGCCCACAAGTTAAAGTCACTGGATCAGTGAAAATGTCAAAGCATATTGAACATGTGAGACATTTTCCTATATCTGTAAGAAGTCCTTCAAGTAGTAACGCCATTGCGGTTTGGTGTGTAGGCTAGAATGCCTGAAATGAAACCGCAAGTAAAATAAAGCCGATTGCAGATTGCTGAACTGGATTTTCCCTCTCGAAGAAAACATATATTTATTTGTCATTACATATTGTTGTGCCGGCCTGATTAAACTGGGAGCTTTACCACTGACTACACAACACCTAATTAATACACAACACCTAATTAATTATCTCTCTCTCTCTCTCTCTCTCTCTCTCTCTCTCTCTCTCTCTCTGTGTCTGTGTGTGTGTGTGTGTGTGTGTGTGTGTGTGTGTGTTTAAAAGCAGGGAAATACAGTGTGTGAGTGTGTGTGTGTGTGTGTGTGTGTGTCATGAGGCTGTTGCTCATTGCTGAGAGAGAGGTTTAATGAGAATGTAAATGAATGCAACTGTCGGCTTGTAGTGTATGACATCTGCTGGTTGTATTATAATTGTTAAAAAGATAGACACTTTCCAAGTCTGCCATCTTTCTGGTTAATATATTCACTCACCCCAAAATTCTCTATAACCATAAGTTTCTCTCCTACTGAAAGCATGGTAGAATTGCCACCTGATTTTATTTTTTTGCACAACCTGGTATTCTCAAGTGTAGGATGTGCAGATCACCCTCCTTTTCTGCTTTAAAGGCGCAGTGCAGTCAAAAACGTGATTTTACTGTGTTTTATATATATTTCCACACTATGAGGTTGGAGTAAAACTGCGCAGTTGTGAAAATTATGATAATGCCCTTTTAGTGTAAGAGCTGTTTTAAAAGACCGCCTGAAATTTAAAAGACCGCCTAATTTACCGCCTGGTGACATCAATTAGTTAATTGACCAATAAGAAAGAAAGTTCAAAATCTCTCTGCCAATAACAGTTAGTTTTCAGTTTTCCTCTCCCCACTCAGGCCACTCCCAGACAGTCCTAGCATAATTGTTGCTTGGGAAATTGCTCTTAGCTAAGAAGCTATTTTTGTTTCTTTTCGACCATTTTCATTGAAAACAATCATAGTAAGGTACTTAATTGTTATCTAGAAATGATTTGATATTGAGATAAAAACAGCTGCATTGGACCTTTAAGATAATCAGAGTGGTCTTACATTGGACCTTTAAGATAATCAGAGTGGTCTTACACATTTGGCACAGTGTTCACTTTGTGTTCACTTTCCCCTTGACAATTTTGCCATCATTGTACATTTTCCATGTTGTCAATGTCACAGTTGCCCCCCTGCTGGCTTCTTTGCCTTGGTTCTCTCACTTCTGAGTTGAAAGTCAATCAGTGATTTATTGACATGTACTGAAGTTGAACTGCTAAACCCCTTCATTTGTGGTTGAATTCTACGACATTTGATGATAAATCTATATCTGTAAAGTGACTATGAAAGTGGCTCTCATGAGACATAATTAATTATATTGTGGTTACAATGAAGATTAAAAACACATTAAAATGAAATGCAAAACAAGTTTACTGAAGACCTAAATTGATTGGTTCGGGATGGGGGGAGGTCAGGTTGGGATGGGGGGAGGGGTTGGAGTGAAAAGAAGGATGAAGAAAGGAGATGAGGAGAAACAGAAGCATCATCGTTGTGGATGACGTCAGCAGTGAGGCTCTCAACCACCTGGATGTCCTCCTTCTTGGAATCCATTTTAGCCAACAACAACAAAAAACAAGTAGAGAAAAATCTTTGAAAACAGCCGTTAACGATATCAGTATCAAAATAGTTCATATTTTTTAAATACATTTTATTTTACTTTTTTGTTGTTGACAGTAAACAAAAACATACATAGACAAAAACAATAGACAACTTAACATTTACATACATTTCAACAAACATTAATGACATCACACTTGCTCAGACCCTCATGTTCCCACCTTATCCACACCCAATGTTGTTTTTAATGCTTGTAAGACTCTGTCCCATTTTACTTCAAATTGTTTTATGTTGTTTCTGTCTGTAGCCAGATTTTATCCAATATTTAAATAATAAAGCATTTGATTCTTCCATCCTCTTAACGTTGGAGTAGCATTTGACTTCCAGTATTTAAGTAATAGCTTCTTCAATATAAGTGACAAAAATAATATTGTTGAACTCATTTGGTATCTCACCGCACCCTCATTTGACGTCTTGAAATATACAGATAGACTGATTAAAAGTAAACGTCCATTTTAAAACTTCTGACAGCCAGCTTTCTAACTAACATAACTTTTGGACTTTATGGCACTCCCAGAAGACATTAATTATTGAGTCATTGTTAGTTTTACAAGTAAGACATGACTCTGCCATTGTGCTGTCGAATTTGTGAATTTTTTCTCTTGTATAATAAATTCTGTACATTAGTTTATACTGGATTAAGCATATATTTTTGTTAACTGTAATGTTCCAACACTCCCTCCATCTTGTGCCGTTATCAAGGTTTTGTATATCTTAACATATGAATATATTTTTCTGACTCAAATAGGCTTCCCTCAACATTGCTCTGATCTCTAAAAGCTTTTAGGTCGACATTTCGTGATATACAACATTTAAGTTGCATATACTGTATTTGAAATGGTCTACATTGGTCAGTCCAAAATTCTGTCATGGAAATAATTGTACTTCCTATTAACACGTCATTTATGTTTTCTATGCCTTTAGTTTTCCATGTGGGCCTATCTATCGGCGAATTCTGAAAAGATTTCCAAGGATTGTTCCATAAGGTTGTGTTTTTAGGGAGTGATATTGGTTCTTGTAGAATCTGTTTCATTTTCGTCCATGTTGTTATAGTGTTCTTAACTATGAAGTTGTTCATGTTTTTTTGTTTTTTTTGTTTTTTGGGGGGGTAGATCAGCTTAATATTGCAGATAGATTGTAACTTCCATCAATGTAATTGTCTGCATCACTTCCAATCCCCGATGTTTTATATATATATATATATATATATATATATATATATATATATATATATATATATATACAGTGGGGAGAACAAGTATTTGATACACTGCCGATTTTGCAGGTTTTCCTACTTACAAAGCATGTAGAGGTCTGTAATTTTTATCATAGCTACACTTCAACTGTGAGAGACGGAATCTAAAACAAAAATCCAGAAAATCACATTGTATGATTTTTTAATAATTAATTTGCATTTTATTGCATGACATAAGTATTTGATCACCTACCAACCAGTAAGAATTCCGGCTTTCACAGACCTGTTAGTTTTTCTTTAAGAAGCCCTCCTGTTCTCCACTCATTACCTGTATTAACTGCACCTGTTTGAACTCGTTACCTGTATAAAAGACACCTGTCCACACACTCAATCAAACAGACTCCAACCTCTCCACAATGGCCAAGACCAGAGAGCTGTGTAAGGACATCAGGGATAAAATTGTAGACCTGCACAAGGCTGGGATGGGCTACAGGACAATAGGCAAGCAGCTTGGTGAGGCAACAACTGTTGGGCAACAACTGTTGGCAACAACTGTTGGCGCAATTATTAGAAAATGGAAGAAGTTCAAGATGACGGTCAATCACCCTCGGTCTGGGGCTCCATGCAAGATCTCACCTCGTTGGGCATCATTGATCATGAGGAAGGTGAGGGATCAGCCCAGAACTACATGGCAGGACCTGGTCAATGACCTGAAGAGAGCTGGGACCACAGTCTCAAAGAAAACCATTAGTAACACACTACGCCGTCATGGATTAAAATCCTGAAGCGCACGCAAGGTCCCCCTGCTCAAGCCAGCACATGTCCAGGCCCGTCTGAAGTTTGCCAATGACCATCTGGATGATCCAGAGGAGGAATGGGAGAAGGTCATGTGGTCTGATGAGACAAAAATAGAGCTTTTTGGTCTAAACTCCACTCGCCGTGTTTGGAGGAAGAAGAAGGATGAGTACAACCCCAAGAACACCATCCCAACCGTGAAGCATGGAGGTGGAAACATCATTCTTTGGGGATGCTTTTCTGCAAAGTGGACAGGACGACTGCACCGTATTGAGGGGAGGATGGATGGGTCCATGTATCGCGAGATCTTGGCCAACAACCGACCCAAAACACACAGCCAGGGCAACTAAGGAGTGGCTCCGTAAGAAGCATCTCAAGGTCCTGGAGTGGCCTAGCCAGTCTCCAGACCTGAACCCAATAGAAAATCTTTGGAGGGAGCTGAAAGTCCGTATTGCCCAGCGATAGCCCCGAAACCTGAAGGATCTGGAGAAGGTCTGTATGGAGGAGTGGGCCAAAATCCCTGCTGCAGTGTGTGCAAACCTGGTCAAGACCTACAGGAAACATATGATCTCTGTAATTGCAAACAAAGGTTTCTGTACCAAATATTAAGTTCTGCTTTTCTGATGTATCAAATACTTATGTCATGCAATAAAATGCAAATTAATTACTTAAAAATCATACAATGTGATTTTCTGGATTTTTGTTTTAGATTCCGTCTCTCACAGTTGAAGTGTACCTATGATAAAAATTACAGACCTCTACATGCTTTGTAAGTAGGAAAACCTGCAAAATCGGCAGTGTATCAAATACTTGTTCTCCCCACTGTACATATATATATATATATATATATATATATATATATATATATATATATACATACATACATATATACATACATACATACATACATACACACATATACAGTGGGGAAATTTTTTATTTAGTCAGCCACCAATTGTGCAAGTTCTCCCACTTAAAAAGATGAGAGAGGCCTCTAATTTTCATCATAGGTACACGTCAACTATGACAGACAAATTGAGAAAAAAAATCCAGAAAATCACATTGTAGGATTTTTAATGAATTTATTTGCAAATTATGGTGGAAAATAAGTATTTGGTCACCTACAAACAAGCAAGATTTCTGGCTCTCACAGACCTGTAACTTCTTCTTTAAGAGGCTCCTCTGTCCTCCACTCGTTACCTGTATTAATGGCACCTGCTTGAACTTGTTATCAGTATAAAAGACACCTGTCCACAACCTCAAACAGTCACACTCCAAACTCTACTATGGCCAAGACCAAAGAGCTGTCAAAGGACACCAGAAACAAAATTGTAGATCTGCACCAGGCTGGGAAGACTGAATCTGCAATAGGTAAGCAGCTTGGTTT